GTGTGTGTGTGTGTGTGTGTGTGTGTGTGTGTATCTGGAGAAAGGTGACACTTTCTGTTCCCGTAAAGAGTTACAGCCTCGGAAGCACACAGAGTAGTTCTACCCGGTCCTATAGGGTCGCTGGGTCAAAATTGACTCAATCGCTGAGTCAGAATTGACTCAGTGGCAGGGAGTCCCTTGGCTTCGAGAGTATGCCAAAGAATTCCGATGACACTCTGGGATAAGTATTGGAATGGTGATCTCAAGGTCAGCAGTTCAAACCCACCAGCTGCTCCAAGGGAGAAAGATGAGGCTAGGTGCTCCAGTGAAGATTTACAATCTAGGTCACACTGAGTCAGAATCCACTCAATGGCAGTGGGTTGTTTTTTTCTGGGTTTTGTTGTTGCTGTTGTTTTGGAGGGGAGAGTTTGAGAGTATAGGCTAGGAGTCCCTAGGTCAGGGGTCCTCAAACTTTTTAAACAAGGTGCCAGTTCACTGTCCCTCAGACCCGTTGGAAGGCTGGACTACAGTTTACCAAAAAACTATGAATAAATTCCTATGCACACTGCACATATCTTATTTTGAAGTGAAAAAACAAATGGGACAAAAACCCAGTGGACTGGATAAATGTCCTCGGAGGGCCACATGTGGCCCCCGAGCTGTAGTTTGAGGACACCTGCCTAGGTATTACAAACTCTTCATGCTTTAGCTTAGAATCAGAAGGTTGGAGGTTCAAGTCTGCCCAGCAGTGCCTCCAAAGAAAGACCTGGAGGTCACTCTTCAAAAGGTCAGCCCTTAAAAGCCCTATGCAGCACAGATCTACTCTGACCCAGGAGCTGGACTGGACTGGTCTCCTGTGGCCTGGGCTTGGCGTCTCCCCAAAGGGGTGTCCAGGGACAGTGTGAGGTAAACCGCACAAGCTGTAATCTGAACAGTTGAGTCTGAGTCTTATCTGCCCCACTCTTCGTCTGTTGCTGTCTCTGAGCCTCAGTGTTCCAGTGTGTCAGGTGGAGATGAGCAAAGCTCTTCCTGGCGAGCAAAGCTCTTCCTGGTGAGCAAAGTCAAAGGGCACATGGTAACCACTAGCATCAAGACCACAGAGACCTGTGACCAGAAGAACAAGGTGGTTCCCCGCTACCACTACAAAGACGCCGAAAGGGATCACCTCAGAAGGTTCTGGATAGAGTGGGGGTAAAACGTGGAACAGAACTCAAAAGCATCCAAGAAACCAGGCTTGTTGGTCAGGGACGTGAAAACCCAGAGATAATGGCCCTGAGCCACGCTTGGGCCTGGAAATGAACTCACTCCTGTTGATTCACTTTCAGCCAAGCTATAGGCAGGTGTATAAGAGGAACAATCACCCAACGGAGACACGGCCACCTTAGAAGAACCTGCCCTTTGAGACCACAGGGGCTCAAAGGACAGAGTTCAGAAGGGCTGGAAAAGGAGGCATGGAAAGAGGGGACCCCGGGAGGAAGTGGGACACGTGGCAGCCCCTTGCAGAGATGGCCGAGAAAGAGGTGAAATAAAACGCGTGTGAAGTGCCGGATGTAAAATTGATGATCGGCTCTGTAAACCTTCACCCAATCCACAACTCCACATATGTAAAGTAAGCCCTTCCCACCAGGGGTTTAATAAAAGCATGTGGAGAAGAAGACAAGGACTGGACTCGGCCAGTCTGCAGACGTTTGGGCTGAAGCCCAAGGTTAAAGGCATCTCAGAAGACATGGCGGAGACGCTGCAAGCCGTGGAGAGCAAACAGGATGAGACTTGTGTGTCCCACGAGCTAGTCCAGAAGGAAGCTGGAGACTCTGGCTGGGAGCATTCCCTTGGAGGGTCCTCGTCTCGAGCTGAGGAACCCTAAGGGAGGGCAATGCCTGCCGGGAGAGAAGCTGGTCTTCCTCCCAGGTTGGACGCTGGCTAATGCAGGTCACCTGCACAGGGCCACCCGGGAGCCTGCATAGAGTGCCTCGGATACCCTGTGCCTATCACCTGGGGGTATGGATGCTAGACAGGAGGGGTCGCAGAGAGGGCCACCATACTTCTGGAGTTTAGCCAGGGGTCCAGTGGGCATCATGGAGGGGACACAGCCTAGACTGGTCATGAAGAGGAGACACCCCCCCCCACACACACACACACACCCCACACACATGCAAGAGGGCCTGGCAGGAAGGAGCTAGAAAGGCCACACAGGGAGAGGAAAAGAGGGGAGGCTGAGAGGACAGTGGTGGCTATGTCACCTGCATCCAGGAACTGGGCAGTGAGAAAGCCAAGCCCACCCAGGAAAAGAAACCGACGCAAAACCCCTTGACCAACTACTGGGCCAACTGAATTCAACAGCATCTCAAACGGTTTCTACATCAAGGCCAAGTGGGGTTTACCCCAGGAATGCAAGAGAAATCTATCAATGTATTACACCAGATTAATACACCAAACCAACCCCTCCCATTGAGTCCATTCCGGGTCACAGAAACCCTGTAGGGCAGCGTGGAACTGCTCCCCTCAGGGATGAGCAGCTTTGAAACAGCTCAGGAGGTAAGAAAGGGCTGAGCAGGCCAAGTTCAGGCCCACCTTGAAGCCCACCCCACTCCAGGTCTAAAATCAAGGCGAGGAGGCGTAGGATGCCTGGTGGGGTTCGATCAAGTGCAATGTAGCCGAGAGGAAGTACAAA